GATTAAACCTAGGAATGTTCTACCTCACAGCTATATCCCTAGCCCTTTTTATTTTGAGACAGAGTCTTGCTAAGTTGCCCTTGAACTTGGTATTCTCCTGCCTCAGCTTCTCAAGTAGCCGGGATTACAGGTTTTTACTGGTATTTATGTTTTAAAGAGACACAATCTTGATATGTTACCAGAGCTGGCCCGAATTCCTGAATGCAAGGAATTCTGCTTCATCCTAGGTTATAGATTTGTGCCTCTGCACCTGGCTCAAATTTATGGTTAATTTTAATCACCTTGTGTATACAGTATTTTACGTGAAGACATACACAAACACACACAATTTTGTTTTCGTATTCCTTTTTTATTCCCTCCTCAAAACTGAAGATCACACACAGGGCCTTATGCATGCTAGGCAAGTGTCTTGTCACTGAGCCGTATCACAAGCCCTAATCTCTCTTTCTCCACCGCTCTTTTCAAGGCAGACTTTCCCTATGTTGAGCAGGCTGGCTAGAAATTTTGGACTCCAGACCTCCTCCCCTCAGCCTCCCAAGTACCTGGAACTATAGTCATGTAGTAGCACACTTGGCTTTGCTTTTATATGTTTAAGTGACTGTATATGCACATCTCCATATTAAAAACTAGTTCAGATGTGGTTATTTTGTTGGCTGCATGATGTTCTATTGTATTGACTTGTTTTTTACCTATAATTAATTACTTGAGTGATATTGTGATTTATATTGAGATACTTGATCTTCCTCTCAGTTTACTAGTACATAACTCCTAAAACCCTTGGAATTTCCAAAGCAATGTGTCTTTTTGTATGTTAATACATATTTTGATGCCTGGGGCAGCTCCTGGATAGTCTTAGGGTTGAGGCTAGTTGCCAGAAGAACCAACCATATGATTAGAGGTTTTTTTTTTTTTTAATATATTTTTTTAGTTGCAGGTGGACCTAATATATTTATTTATTTATTTTTATGTGGTGCTAAGGATCATACCCAGTGCCTCATGCATATGAGGCAGGTGTTCTACCACTGAGCTACAACCCCAGACCCATGATTAGAGGTTTGAAACTTTTATTTCCACCTCCCAACCTCCTTGAAGAGGACTGCCCAGAGCTGAATATTAAGTTGATCGTCATTGGCTAATGATTTAGTCAGTCATGCTTATACAGTGAAATGTGCATAAAAACCCAAAAGGCCTAGGTTTAGGGAGCTTCCACATAGCTGAACATGTGGAATTCTTGGATGGTAGCACATTCAGAGAGGGCATGGAAGTGCTATATTCCACTTCCCATATGCCTTGGCTCATGTATCTCTTTCATTAAGCTGTTCTGTATAATAACATTTATAATAAACGGGTAAATGCAAATGAAGTTTTTCTATGAATTCTGTGAACCACTTTAGAAAATTAATCAAATCCAAGGAGAAAGTTGTTGGAACCCTGACTTACAGCTGGTTGATCAGAGGCCTAGACCACAATCTAAGGCCTGAGATTGGTATCTGAAGTGTGGAGCAGTTTTGTGGGACTGAGCCCTTAAATTATGGGACCTGACACTGTTTCCAGCTAGATAATATCAGAATTAAATTGAATTAAGACACCTAGATGATGCCCCTGTAGACTGCTTAGTTATTAGGTGGGGAAATTGTATGGTATTAGATGTTGCTTACAGTAGTAATGAAACTGGAGTTAGAGATGACACCAGATTCTCTGTCTCTGTTGCTGCAATTGCAGGTGGGGTCATAGTCCTCTGTGGCAGAGGCACAGTTTTTCACAGCAGCAGGTGCCCACCAGTGTCAGTGGCTGGTCTCAGCAGACAGGGCTGGAGTTTTCAGCATCATTAATGGGATCTGGCTGTGTTACAGCTCTCCATAGCAGGCTGCGCCAGCTTAGTATTGCAGACCCCAGACCCTAGCGACCTGCCGGCAACTTCTTTCCAGGTTCTTGTCTTGTGAATTTGAAGAATGAAATCTATGGACAACAGAGAATGAGAGTGAAAGAGTAGAATTTATTTAGTCACATGAGAAGAAAAGAAAAAGCTCTCGCCAGGTGAGAGGGGAACCCAGACCATAGCAGGTTGCCACTGAAGTGTACTAGTCTAGGGACTTATATAGCTACTAGGTAGAGACGTTGATCACTATCTGTGTTAACCAGGTATTAGAAAAATGCTCATGACCTTCTGATTGTGTCTTTTTAGTCCCTGAATGTGTAGCTTTCACTCAGGTCCATCCTGCTCCCTTTTTCCTACACTAGTGGATAAAGGAGTTGGCTGAAATGTTTGGAATGTTTCTACAGATTAATTTCACGGATTGATCTTTAGAGAATCCTTTATGGGGCCCAGTGCTAATGTCTTAATCTCCTGACCTATCTAGTCAGCAAGTGAGAGTAGGATAAACACTGTTTTTCCCTCAAATTTTTCTATTAGCCGTGTCAGGCCCTTTGTCTAACCAGTGTCCTATGATTATTGTACCTGTTTTCCAGAAATACATAAGAGGTAGCATGCAAGCAGAAGTATGTTTTATTGTATAGAGACTTCTGTGTGAATTCTGTATTTGGTCTTTTCCCCTAATGAACTGAACTATACCACATGGGGCCCCTTATTCAAGCAGCCTTCCATATTTTCCATCTCCTGGCCACACTGTGGGCCTCATTATATACTTCAGTTGAGAGACAGTGAGCCACAAAGAGGAAGAATCTTAACTGCTTGCCAGAGGAGTTTTTACCCCCACTGTGACAGAATGTGGTCCCACTGTAAGATTTCATCCCTTGTGGATTAAAAGGCCATCCATATGAGGATGGTGAACATAATGTTGGAAAAGTGCCTGGTCTGAAGTTGTTAGAAACAATTTGATACAAATTGTTTCTTTTAGGTTATTTGTGTGGAGGAGGCAGAATTGCTAGGCCAAAAGAAATGAAGAGTTTATGGTCTGTATATGTTATCATGCCCAAGTCATGCCCAAGTCCATCTGCTTGACACTCAAAAGCCAGTACATGGGAGCTCAGATTTGGTGGGAAAGAAATCAGGTGTACTCAAAAGCTAGCACCATGAAAGTGGGCGGACCTATCCTATCCCCACAAAAAAGATCTTAGGGAACTCAAGTACACAAAAGGACTTATGGGGAAAGAGGGAGGAAAAGTGGGATAATGTACATGAATACTGCATGTTGGGTGGGGTCTTTATCAACAAGGGTGTGTGTTTGCTCACTGGCCCCCACCCCCACCCCCCACTGCCCTACTTTGGCCAGAACATCAAAATCACCCTTGACAAAACCAAAACCAAAACCAGCCAACCAAACAAATAAAACAACCTTGACTTACTGGGTCTAGTTTCTTTAGATAAACAGCAGGCTTAACCTTACTGCAAATGTACCTGCTTTGTGTTAGTTGATGCACCAAACTAAAGAATAAGGAGGAAAGTTCCATATTCCAATATAATCTGAAGTTAACCAGATGTTTTGGGTTTTATAAATCCAAAGAAAAATTATTTAGCAGGCAACATCTTAATCATTTAGGTGTGGATTTTCTTTAGAATTTAGTACAGGCAAAGGAAGGGAAGCTAAAGTAACTTTGCCAAGGACACTTCCCAAAAGAGGGGACAATGTTACACATATGTTGCTAGTTTGCTTCCATACAAAGTAAACAGTTTAAAAAAATCATTGGTAACATTTAAGTGTATCTAAAATGCCATAGTCCATTGAAAGAATCAAAACAGTATTTTGTATTACTTTTGCTACCACAATGCGTGTACTACTACTTAAATTTCCTTAATTTTTTAAAGTTTTATTGAAATACAATTGACATATCACACTTAAAGTATTAAAAGTGTACACCTCCCAATAATGCTCATTTTCTACATTTGTTATTCAGTTTCATTTGTCAATGATTTTTAGTATCATTTATAGAGTTTCACATTTAACACCACAATCTAATTTTATTTATTTATTATGTGGTGCTGAGGATCAAACCCAGCATCTCACACGTGCTAGGTGAGTGTTCTACTGCTGAGCCACAACCCCCAGCACCCCCACCCCCAGCTTTTTTATTTTGAGACAGGTGTCACTCAGTTGCTGAGGCTGGCCTCAAACTTGGGTATCCTCTGGCCTCAGCCTCCAAGTAGCTGAGATTACAGGTATGTGCCATCATGCTTGGCTTGTTTCACATCTTACGCTTAATTTTAAAATCCGTTTTGAATTGATTTTTGTATATAGGGTAAGTCTAATTTCATTCTTCTGCATGTGGATTTTTCATTTTCTCCAATATCATTTATTGAAGTATTATTTTTCCCGTTGTGTGTTGTTGGCATTTTTGTCAAAAATCAATTATAGCCAGGCATTCATGGTAGCACATGCCTATAATCCCAGTGACTCAGGAGGCTGAGACAGGAGAATCACAAGTTTGAGGCCAGCCTCAGTAACTTAGTGAAATCCTGTCTCAAATTAAAAAATAAAAAGGACTGAGGATATAGCTCAGTGGTAAAGTGCCCTTGCATTCAATTCCCAGTACCCCCCTCCCCAAATCAATTGTAAATGCATGGATTTAAAAAAAATTATTTGTTCTTTTTAGTTGTATATGACAATAGAATATATTTTGACAGATTATTCATACATAGAGTATAACTTCTCATTCTTGTGATTGTACATGAATGTGCAGTTACACTAGTCGTGTATGCATAATGCATGGATTTCTTTCTGGACTCTGTATTCTGTTCCATTTGTCAGTGTACCTGTCTTTTAGATGCAAGTGCCATGCTGTTTTGATTATTATGATCTATTTTTAGAACATACTTAAAAACCTTTTTAATTACACTCTTATGTGTATTGAAGAAGTACATTTTTTTCAAAATAAAAAATAACCAAAATGAAGGGAAAATTAATACATATTATTTTTATTTATTTGACTAACACTTTATTAAATATTACTTATCACATACCTTTAGTCATTGGGTAAATTAGTAAACTCTGGCTCAGTATTATTTAACAGAATTATCTTAATTAGTGCCTTCTTTTTTTCAGCGTTGTAGGATGAATGAAGACACTGGTACTGATTATATAGCACCTTGGCAGCTGTCTCAGGTGGTGGATGGCGGAGGTGTTGGAATTATAGAATTAAGCAAGCATACAAATTTGACTAAAGGTGACTTTGTGACTTCTTTCTATTGGCCCTGGCAAACCAAGGCTATTCTGGATGGAAATAGCCTTGAAAAGGTGATGTATAGAATAAAAATATCTGATCCCCCTCCCTCCCAATAATGCTCATTTTCTACATTTGTTATTCAGTTTCATTTGTTATCAGGTAAAAAATAAAAGCGTACATTTTTTTTCTTTTAGCTTACTGCCAGTTGTGGACAGCTTTTATTCCTTTTCCACTGTTGGCTGGGACTATATGTGACAATTCGTAGATTAACAGAGAATGTTGTAATTTTCCATATTTATTTCTCAAATTATATATATAATATAAAACCTGAGCTCTAAGCATCAAAAATATTTTATATTAAGAATTAAAAGTCCTCCTATAATTATATACTTTGAAGTTTCCTGAGAAATAGCCACCTATGAAACACACTTGCTTTATGATTGATATTCCATTTCACATCAGAAATCTTGATTTCAGTTCACTTTTAGGCTAAAACTTGTGAGATTATCAATATTTGTTTTGACTACAAAAATGTAGCTTCATGTAATTCAGCATAATTTATCCGTTATCAAGGAACTTTATGTCTTTATATTTCAGTCTCCTCATGGGCAAAATGAAAGTAATAGTTATCATAAGTGAACATTATGATAATAAGATAAATATTATAAAAGTTTTGTAAGAAGCTTTATAATATTCAAATATTTTTTATTATTACAAATATTTTTTTCTTTTTTATTTTTTCCCACTGACTGGGGATTGAACCTAGGGCCTTGTGGATATTAGACAAGTGTTCTATCACTGATCTACATCCCCAGCCCCACTTTTTTTTTTTAACTGCTTTTATTTTTTAAATACATGACAGTGGAATGCATCAAAATTCTTTTTTTTAGTATTTATTTTTAATTCTACACAATATCTTTATTTTGTTTATTTATTTTTATGTGGTGCTGAGGATCGAACCCAGGGTCTCTCACGTGCTTGCCTAGCACTCTACTGAGCCACAACCCCAGCCCCACAATTCTTATTACACATATACACAATTTTTCATCTCTCTGTTGGTATATAAAGTATGTTCACACCAATTCATGTCTTCATAGATGTACTTTGGATAATGATGTCCATCACATTCTACCATCATTGCTAACCCCCTGCCCCCTCCCCTGCCCTCCCACCACTCTGCCCTATCGAGAGTTCGTCTGTTCCTCCCATACTCCCTCTCCCTACCCCACTATGAGTCAGTCACCTTATATCAGAGAAAACATTTGCCATTTGTTTTTTTGGGATTGGCTAACTTCACATAGCATTATCTTCTCCAACTGCATCCATTTACCTGCAAATGCCATACATGATTTTATTCTCTTTTATTGTTGAGTAATATTCCATTGTGTATATATATGCCACATTTTTAATCCATTCATCAACTGAAGGGCATTTAGGTTGGTTCCACAGTTTAGCTATTGTGAATTGTGCTGCTATAAACACTGATGTGGCTGTGTCCCTGTAGTATGCTGTTTTTAAGTCCGTTGGGTGTAGACTGAGGAGAGGGAGAGCTGGGTCAAATGGTGGTTCCATTCCCAGTTTTCCAAGGAATCTCCATACTGCTTTCCATATTGCCCAGCCCCCACTTTTTAAAAATTAAAAATAAATTTGAGACAGTGTCTTACTAAGTTGCCCAGACTAGTCTAGATCCTTCTGCCTCAGCCTCCTGAATAGCTGGCATTTCAGGAGTGGTCACTGCACCTGGATTGTTATTACAAATTCTTAACCAGTGTGTGAAAGTTTCTAATACTAAAATGGAATCACTTATGTGAAATCCTAACAAATGGAGCTGGAAATCCATGAAGGATAGGCCCTCAAAACAACCATCTTGCTTACCTATCAACTTCCTGTTCTGGTAATGGACTGATGCCACCCTTATTAATCCTTGTAATGAAGAATAATTGTTTCAAAACAACTAATGTCACTTCTTCATTTTACCTTTAAAAATTCTTGCCTTCCTTTGCCTCACTAGATATGCACATGCATGCACATCCTGGATTGCAGTCCCTTGTTATTCCTAAATAAACTGTTTTTGAAATGTGAGTCTATCACCCATTTTGTCCCCATGTGGAAGTCCAAGGAGGTCTTTCCAGAGGTAGAGACCTCTACTTGGACTTTGAGGTTTGTGGATTGTGATGGACATCATTATCCAAAAAAGGTTCTTGACCATATCACAGAAAATAATTTAAGGCCCTATCAGGTATGAGTAGCAGAGTGAAAGATTTATTATAATGGGAGCATATATATTCTTAAAGCAGAGTGTGGGCAATCTAAAAAGTGAGATGCACTACCAGGACTTGAGGTCAGGCTTTTATTATAGTACCTAATTATGTGCAATATGTATGATCCCAAGGGGCTGGACTTCCTCAGGATTGGGAAATACTGAGTAAGATTGTGTTTTCTCATTAGGGGGTCTGATGTGTAGGCTTCAGCTAAACAGCAGCATCTCAGGTAGTTAGGTGATTGGCCCAGAGCAATCAAATGTTAGCCTCTAGCCACACTAGGTTAATGTTCTCTTGTCTATTGCCTTCCTATTCTCATTTTGCTACATTCCAGAAAACTACAGGGAATTGGAAAGTTACAAAGTAATTTATGAGCTGTTTAGTGCATCCTTATCTTCTGGTCCTTTTCTGTCCCTTATTTTTTTTTTTTTTGTCCAGCTTATGAGTTGTCTACAAGTTGTTTGTTCTGTATGTAATAGGGATATTTTTCCTTTAGAGTCTCAGTGTTCTCTGTCCATAAATTTCTATCTCATTTTAGGTTAAATTAAAAGAGGCTAAGATATAAGTGCTACATGAGTGACTTTACACAATTATTTGTAATCTTAATGGTTCTAATACAATAGATCTAACTAGAAATTTCTTAGTAGGAAATAAAAAGGAATATTCAGCCTATCAATATGCTTATGTTATAATAAGTATATTTGGCTTTTATCCCCAGTTCCTGACTAAATGATCTCAAAAATCTTGGAATTTGCAGAGCACAGTGGTGCTGCCTATAATTCTAGTTGCTTTGGAAGCTGAGGCAGAATAATCATAAGTTCTAGGCCAATTTTAGCAATTTAGTGAGACCCTGTCTCAAAGTTAAAAATAAAAAGAGCTAAGGATGTAGCTCAGTGGTATAGCACCCCTGGATTCAATCTCCAATACCATAAAAAAAAAAAAAAAAAAAAAAAAAGGTTTAGCAGACTTGGCCCTGAAATTGGCTTTTGGAGTGGGAGCAGTTTTATGGTACTAAAACTATAACTTCTGGAATCCAACATAATGCCAAGTACATAGTGTCAGAATTGAAATGAATCAAATGATAGGTTGCATAGCTGGTGAGAACTCTATAGTGTTGGAGAAAAAAAAAAAACTATGCTGTCAGTAGGTTTCCATGTGAGGTGTAAAGAAACTCTTTTTCTCAGAGTGCTGTAGTGGAAATTGAGCAGTTGAGGGCAGCTTGCAAATGCTTTGGGAATAGGTATTGGAAATGAAGAAGAGTAATTTAGAAGGGAAAGAAAAATAGTATTTGCTGAACACAAATTTATCTCACAGTGTTTTGATACTGACTTTATCAGTAAATCACTATTGCATACATGAACTATTTCTGTGTACTATAGACATTCCTATGTATTGCAGGCCTCATCTCTCTCATTCCTGGGGTATTACGCATGCTAGGCAGGTACCCTTCCACTGAGCATCCTTTTTTATTTTTTCTTTTGAGGCAGGGTCTGGCTAAATTGCCCAGGCTGGCTTTGAACTTGTGATCATCCTGCTTCAGCCTCCCAAAGAGCCAGCATTATAAGCATGGTATTGCCCAGCACATTTTATTCATCATAATTGAACTACAAATAAGCTAAGGTTATTAGTGGTTTGTAAATTTTTACCAAAATTATCCATTCCTTAAAAATTATCATAAAGGCTGGGGTTGTAGTGCAGTGGTAGAGCACTTGCCTAGCACATGTGAGGCATTGAGTTTGATCCTGAGCACAACATATAAATAAATAAATAAATAAACAAGCAAACAAATAAATAAATAAAGGTATCATGTCCATGTATAACTAACATACATATATATTTAAAAATTGTCATAAACCTGCATTGTAGAGAGTCTTTGTGTATATTGTTCCAATTCCCTCTAATTTTATAGATAAGAATATAGACAGAAAAAGAGCAATATAATTATTGGTAGCACCTAGTCAGCATATAAGCATAAAACACCAAAATGAAATAGGCTCAATTTATTTTCTGTAATTAAACTAAAAGAAATTGTATCATGTCTTCCTTTTTTGGGGTTTTGGTGCTAGGGATTAAACTCAGGGACTTGCACTTGTGCTCCATCACTAAGCTGCACCCCAGTCTCCTTCCTTACATTTTTATGGTACATATTAACCATCAGTAGTGAAAATTATTATAGCCAAGCACCATGGCATATGCCTGTAATCCTAGCACCTGTGAAATTTAGGAAGACCTTGTCTCAAATAAGAAGAACTGAGAGTGTAGCTTGGTAGCAGAATATTCCTGGGTTCAATCCCCAGTACCATACACATACGCACATACACACACACACAAAAAAAAAAAAGGAAAGAAAAAAATAGTTGGAGTTTGAGGTTTATTTTTGTTGTTGTTGAAGTGGGTGTCTTGCTTTGTTGCTTGGGTTGGCTTTGATTGGTCAAAAAGGGTTTTTAAAAAAAATTTTAATAGAGAATTTTAGTTTTTTTCCCAACTCTTTACAAATATATTATAGAATTTTAGCAAGACTGAAGAATAGTTTGAGGCAGGGTCTGGCTAAATTGGGTCTGGCTAAATTCAGAAACCATACTGAAATTATTAGTTTGCTTGGACTGCCACAATAAAATACTCTAGGTTGGTGGCTTTAAACAACAGAGATTAATGTTCTGTTCTGGAGACTAGAAATCCAAGATCAAGTTTCTGGAAATTTTCATTTCTGGCTTGCAGGTAGATAACTTCTTACTGTGTCCTCTAGTGGTCTTTTTCTGGGGTAGGCAGTGGTTGTATTTCTTACGTTTATTCTAAGGGCACAGATCCTATTGGATTAGAGTCCCATTCTTTTTTTTTTTTTTTTTTTTTTTTGAGGGTGGTGTACTGGGGATTGAACTCAGGGGTACTGGACCACTAAGCCACATCCCCAGCCCTATTTTGTATTTTATTTAGAGACAGAGTCTAATGGAGCTTCTGTGCTTCTGCTGAGGTGGGCTTTGAACTCCAGATTCTCCTACAGCAGCCTCCTAAACCTTAGGGATTATAGGCATGCGCCACCATGTCTGGTTTAGAGTCCCAGTTTTGTAATCTCATTTAACCTTACATAGCATCTTAAAGGCCTTATCTTTGATACAGTTACATAGGCGGGGGCACACAATTTATTACATAACAATCTCTACTTTGTCTTAAAACAGGAATTTCTAATATTATGTTAAAATGCTATATACTTTATTTTAGGTTGACCCACAACTTGTAGATGGACATCTTTCATATTTTCTTGGAGCTATAGGTATGCCTGGCTTGACTTCCTTAATTGGAGTACAGGAAAAAGGTCATGTAACTCCTGGATCTAATCAGACAATGGTTGTCAGTGGAGCAGCAGGTGCCTGTGGATCCTTGGCTGGGCAGGTAAATGTTCTGAGAATTATTTAACTTTTTTAAAAAAGTTGTCATAATCAAACTTCTGGATATATGTATATAATTTAAAATATGAATGTGAACAAATTTAAATGATTATTTCACACATTTTTGGTAGAAATGATGTTATTACCCATTAAACTCTCTTAACAACAATATGATGTATATTGTAGGTTTTTGTCTCAATCTTTATTAACCAAGAATAGATATGGTAAATGCTAGAGGATTGCTGTCATCCATGCAAGGATAAGAATCATAGAGACCCCCCTGGAATTTCACAAACTAAAGATAAATGAGGGGCTGAGGGTGTAGCTCAGTGGCAGAGCTCATGCTAAAAAAATTATATAATAGGCCCTAGGTTCAATCATTGGTACCAAAAAAAACAAAAACAAAAAAACTGATATTTAAAAAAACCTCAGGTAAGAAAACGTATATTGAGTACAAGAAATAAAATAAATCTTTTGATAGAATTCTGTTAAGTTCATTGTTTTATAGGAAACCATTAAGACAAAATATTTTATTTTAGGTGTGATTTTTAGTTCCTCACAGGCCTGAAAAATATTGAATTGTAGGGTAGTGATGTTTTAAGTCTGAGTATTCCATTTATAAAATCAGATTTAAACTGTGAATTTTAAACTGAGATTGATTTTATTCAATTTATTTTTTTTAAAAGATGACATTTTCTGCCCTCAGTTCTATTAGTTTCTTTTTGTTAAAAGCAGTGTAATCTAACCTCAATTGTGATGAACTCTCTCATAAACTTAAAATATCTTGTATACTTTCACCTTTTTACAATAAACATAATAATATAAAACCATTTAATTTTCAAAATATTCCTCCTAGATTGGCCATTTGCTGGGCTGTTCCAGAGTGGTGGGAATTTGTGGAACACAAGAGAAATGCCTCATTTTGACCTCAGAACTGGGCTTTGATGCTGCAATTAATTATAAAAAAGGGAATGTGGCAGAACAACTCCGAGAATCATGCCCAGCTGGAGTGGACGTTTACTTTGATAATGTTGGTGGTGACATCAGCGATACAGTGATAAGTCAGGTTGTTTGCCAATTTATGTTACAAAGTTGAATACTGCATTTTATTTGTTGTGATTTTTTTTATGTGATACTGAGGGGGAAAAAAACTTCATAAAATTGTAGGGTTTACTGTGACAAATGTGATGATCCTTATTTAAGTGATATGAGAGCTTGCTGATATCTCCTTTCATATGCTAACAGATTTACTGTGATTCATCTGATTCAGTTCTTGTCTAGCAGTATTATATTTTCACCTTAAATTAATTTTTGTGAAAAATTACAGTTGTATTTGTTAAATGAAATTGTGAAGTTCTGACCTCTAACTTGCCATTGACCAAGTCACAGTCATCCCCCTAACTTTGAGGAAATAGGTTTTCATAAATTTGGGTATTTACGATTTTCTTTATTAAAAATGTTGTGAAGTATCAACATGAGCTATCAACAATGCATAGTCCATTATTTGCAGCTTAGGTTACATTATTTAAATGCAAAGAAATACAATACTGCTACTAATAAATGTAGTGACAATGACAACTAATATAATTCTTTTGCTGATTAAGAAATTTTGCCAAGATCATTGTAATGTCATGTGTAGCTAATAAAAAATAAAAAATTTTTCATTTGCCTTTATATTCCTTTGGGGTGAATTTGTTGCTAGCTAATTAAAACTTTTAAATACATATAATATGTAAATCTTCAAAGCAAACTAAATTGGCAGTAGAAGATTAAATATAGTGGTCAAGCAGGTTTTCATTTAGGCAAACGTAAAATCAATGAACAGGAAAGGTGTCTAAGGAGGTAACCATCAAAAATTTTTCTGTGCAGATGAATCAGAACAGCCACATCATCCTGTGCGGTCAAATTTCTCAGTACAATAAAGATGTGCCATATCCTCCTCCACTGCCCCCTGTGATAGAGGCAATCCAGAAGGAAAGAAACATCACAAGGTATGTCCTCTGTCTTTGCCCTTATTACCAGATTCAGATTCAAGGGGGAATGTATATGAAATAAATTGTTATTCAATATAGTTTTTCCTTAATAAATAAAATTCATATATATATAATATATATGTATATTTTTACATAAATGGAGTATAATTTCTCATTCTTCTGGTTGTGCATGATGTAGAATCTCTGGTCATGTAGTCATATATGTACATAGGTAATAATATCAAATACATTCTACTATCCTTCCTATACCCAAACCCCTCCCCTCCCTTCACTCCCTCTACCTAGTCCACCCTTTATTGGGAATTAGCATGTGCATATCAAAGAAAACATTCTGCCTTTGTTTTGGGGGGACTGGCTTATTTCACTTAGCATGATATTCTCCAGTTACATCCATTTACCGGGAAATGCCATAATTTTATTCTTCTTTAAGGCTGAATAATATTCCATTACATATGTATACCACATTTTCTTTATCCATTCATCTGTTGAAGGACACCTATGTTGGTTACATAGTTTAGCTATTGTGTGTTGAGCCACTATAAACATTGATGTGGCTTTATCAACGTAGTAGGCTGATTTTAAGTCCTTTAGGTATAAACTGAGGAGTGGGATAGGTAGGTCAAATGGTGGTTCCATACCAAGTTTTCTGAGGAATCTCCATACTGCTTTCCATAATGATTACACCAATTTCCAATCCCAGCAATGTATGAGTATGCCTTTTTCCCCACATCCTTGCCAACATTTATTGTTACTTGTATTCTTGATAGTTGCCATTCTGACTGGAGTGAGATGAAATCTTAGAGTAGTTTTGATTTTCGTTTTTCTAATTGGTAGAGATATTAAACATTTTTTCATATATTTGTCAATTGATTGTATTTCTTCTTCTGTGAAGTGTCTGTTCAGTTCATTAGCCCATTTATTGATTGGGTTATTTGGGTTTTTTTTGGAGTTTTTTGAATTCTTTATATATCCTTGAAATTAATGCTCTCTATTTTTAAGCTAGTTTAATATTTAGGTTTTGGTTAATTAGCTCCTTGAAAACTCATACTTACTGGATTTGACTGAGCTGGGTTAAATCAAGAGAGGATGGGGAAAGGAAGATATCTACAAAGAAAAAAATCACAGAACTGTTGCTAAATGGAGTTGTAGATGCTGGGCAGACATAAACAGTAGAAGTTTAGTATACTTACATTTGTAAATACACCTAAAATTATGTCTGACCAAACTCAGTGTGATTAATTCCAATATTTTAAGGATTAACAGATTTACTAGAGTTCTGGAATGGTTTCATCTTGAACTCTCACTCCTGTCTTGTTCTCTGATCATTATCCTTTTCTTCTCCCCTATAGGGAAAGATTTATGGTGTTAAATTATAAGGATAAATTTGAGCCTGGCATTCTACAACTGAGTCAGTGGTTTAAAGAAGGAAAGCTAAAGGTAGTACTTCTATTTTTTATCATTATAATTCTTCCTGCTACTTGATATACTTTTGTATTATTTAAATTATATTATAGCAAACATTTTTTCCTTTATCTTGCATACCAAAAGCTGGGATTATGGCATGCACCACTGCACCTAACCTCAACCATGTTTGTTTCATTATAAAAAATTCCTACAAAAGAAATGTATACTAAATATCTTTACCTTGCTGATGATTGTAAACTCCTAACTGAAGAAACCCTCTTATTATTAACTTTATATAAAATTTACTGTTTCACTTTCTGTGGATTATATTACAAAATCAACAATTTTCCCAAAATATAAATTAGTAATATTCAAAATATTTATGGAATTCTACCATGTATTGGAGACTCCTTTCCAAGAAAGTCATATAAGCACATCCTAGTGTCCTCACCTACTCTCCATGGATACTCTGATGTCTTTCTTAGTTGTTGGCTGAAAATCAGAAATTTTTAATTTGGGATTCAGAGGTCCTGACCTTGTTCTCTTAATGTTCTTGAAATCCACAAATGATTGGCAGTTATGAGTGTGTGTGTATATATATTTTGAAAAGAGGATATATAGCTGGGTACAGTGGCGGGTACTTATAATTTATCTCAGCTACTTAGGAGGCTGAGGCAGGAGAACTGTAATCAAGGCCAGCCTCAGCAACTTAGCAAGACCAACTCAAAATAAAAAGGGCTTATCCCCATTATTACAAAATAATTTTTTTAAAGAATACTAAAACTACTATTTTAATTTACAGATCAAGGAGACTGTGATAAATGGATTGGAAAACATGGGAGGTAAGAGGAATGTATTTATTTATTATATACATGTGCTCAGCAAAAATATTCTTTTTTCTTTTAATGCTGCTTCTCAGGTGTCTCCTCCCCCTTTTCTTTTTTTCCTTAATTTTTAGTTTTGCTAGGCTGAATCAATATTAACTGTGTTTTGGTTGGTTGTTTTCCTTCTCTTTCTTTTTTTGACAAAGCTAGGGATCAGGGTCTTATGCCTGCTAGGCAAGTCCTACATCACTGAGCTACATCCCCAGACCAGATTTTTTTCTTTCTTTTTTACTGTATTGAGAATTGAACCCAGAGGCACTCTTATCACAGAGCCACATCCCCAGCTATTTTCATTTTTTTCTGTTGGGACAAGGTCTCACTAAGTTACCCAGGCTAGCCTCAAACTTGAGATCCTCCTGCTTTGGTCTCCAGAGTAGCTGGGATTATAGGCATATACCACTTTGCCTGTTTTTTTTTTTTATTTTAATATTGGGGATTGAACTCAGGGGTACTTTCCCACAGAGCTATATCACCAACCCTTTTTATTTTTTATTTTGAGACAAGGTCTCACTAAATTGATGAGGATCTCACTAAGATGCTACGGCTGGCCTCTAACTTGTGATCTTACTGCATCAGCCTCCTGAGTCACTGGGATCACAGGTGTGCACCACCATACCTGTTGTTTTTTCTTTATTTATTTAAAATATTTCTTTTAGTTGTCAATGGGCCTTTATTTATTTATATGTGGTGCTGAGAATCGAACCCAGTGCCTCACACATAAGCACTCTACTACTGAGCCACAACCTCAGCCCCTCCTTTTTTAATCATTTATTTCTTCCCTGCAAAACCATACTCTAGGTTTTCATAAGTATTGTAATCAAGATCTATGTGAGTTCAACTTAGTGGTATTTAAGAGGTATTGTTATCACATCTCAAATAGTTTATAAAAAATGTAAGGATTGTGAAAATTACTTAGGCTTTAGGTTACTTTTTCAGATTAGCTGCTTCTGGGGCAGTTTATATTAAGCAAATTGTCAATATTTAACTTTTGCCCACTATACATAGATTTAAGATATTCTCATTTAGGGCTGGGGCTATAGCTCAGTGGTAGAGCACCTGCCTTGCACGTGGGAGGCACTGGGTTTGATCCTCAGCACCACATAAAAATACATCAACAACAACGACAAATTAAAAAAAAAAAAAGATTCTGATTTGTTCATTTAACTGAAAAGGGTTAAATCGAACTGATGTTTTCCTTTTTCAGAAAAATTTTTTAATACATTTTGTTAATGTATACTAAACATAAAACCCACTCATTTGGCATAAGAAATGTGTACTGTATTTATTTATTTAATAAAACTTTTTGATTACAATTCTAAACTTTTTGACAGTTATTTAAAAATTGTTTTTGCTGATAATTAATTCCCATATTTATTTTCCACCAATCTTTAGACTCTGTATACATTAAACATTGATGTAAACTCAGTTTAGGTATAATAACAGTTAGTTGGGTTAGTTTTTCTTTAACTTCTACTTGACCTTTCTTTTCATGACAGTTTCCTTCTGTGCTTAATATTACAATCCTGGAAGAAGTTATTCAAACTAATTTTATATTTCTGACCTCTTGATAAACAAGTTTCATGGTAACATTTATCTTTTCAGATAATCAATTTTTTTTTCTTTCCAGCTGCATTCCAGTCCATGATGACAGGGGGTAATATCGGAAAACAGATAGTTTGTATTTCAAAAGATATTTCTCTATAATGGTCATCTTCAAGAAAAATCACACATATTTCTTTCCACCTTACACAAAGATTTTTAAGATAATTTTTTTTTTTTAAAGTACAGGGAGCTGTGGTGGAGCACATGACTCACATGTGTGAAGCACTGGGTTCAATCCTGATCACCACATAAAAATAAAATAAAGGTATTGTAAAAAAAAAAGTACAGATAGCTCTTGATTTGAATGTGATCAGAAGAATATTTTCTTACGTAACTTAACTCTTTTCTATATCTTAATATCATGTGTGCACTCTACATCTAACATTACCTAAAACAATACTGAAATTAAAATGATCCATTTTTCTTTTGTTAAAACATGTATGACATAATTGTGTCAGACATTCTGAAGCTACTGGAGATTTGATGCAACTGATAATGCATCAAATTTATAAATTTTTAAAAATTAATAACGTCTATTAATTTAAAATAGAATAAATATTCTATTTGAAATAAGAGGCATGTAGTAAACATTTGTTGGACTGGAAAAAAAAAAACTTCACATGATTCTTAAACTGAAACTTGGAATAAGAACAGGATTGGAATGGCCTTTCCATATTGTAGGTGAAAACAGGACTTAATGGTATGATATGTATGTAAGGACTGCAGGGTAGGGTTGGTTGGGTGTGATTCAGAGCTTGTGGAACAGTTTTTGCAAAAGGAAAACAGAGGTTTGGGGTTGGGAGTGATATGAGAAAATAAATGGCTGAAGTCCGTCGGTTTGAGAGACCCAGAAGATTTAATCCAAAGGATTATCTATTAATGTTTTGCCAAATAATTCACTATACTGCCTAAAAACCCAATTTATTTTATTCTTTTAAGAGAGAATTTTAAAGTTTATTATTATTATTTTCGGCGAACACAGCATCTTTGTTTGTATGTGGTGCTGAGGATCGAACCCACTTGAGCCACATCCCCAGCCCTAAAAACCCAATTTATATATTGATAAAAGCATATGTTAATCTTAGTTTAGTGTGCACATATTGTCAAATAGTTGTCAAGATTAGAGAGCAAGTAGATATAAACTTACTGGGAATTTCAGATAACTAAACAAGGAGGTTTGGGGGTGTAACTGAGTAGCACAACTCTGCTTGACCTTGAGGTCAGTCCCCAGCACAAGAACACCTAAAAAAACCAAAATCAAAACAAAGACGGCTTCAGAAAACAACAGGACTGACTGGGAAAATTAACCAATGGTTGTAATCATGAATGTTCAAAACCTATTGATGTACCTCTAAGTAAGTTTGTTTTATTAATTGTATCCAACCCTTTGAAACAATAAAATTGAAGATGTTTTTCTGTGTGGTTTATGGTAACCTGTTTTACACACTGCCAGTGTGTACACACACACACATTTAACTGGGAATTGAACCTTGGGTGCTTTACCATTGAGCTACATCCCCAGCCCTTTTTATTTTGTCTGAGATGAGGTCTAAATTGCAGAGGCAGCTCTCCAACTTGGGTTCCACCTGCCTAAGCTTTATCGGGTAGCTGGGCTGCTGCCAATGTATTTTTGAACGTGAAATTAGTAAAAGTAGATTCAAATTGTGTTGGTAATCACTCACTCCAGTGAACTTCAGTGGCCTTCTCTTCTTTTATATATTTTTCCTCTACCATTTTCTTTTCTGAGGGGTTTTATCTCTTCTCTGTATGCTGAAAGCTCCCAAATCTACACTTCTTTTCCTGACTTCTTGAGCTTTGGATCTTTACCTTCAAGTAAATATCCCGTTGGTACTTCAAACTCTGCTTATCCAAAAAGAGGAATTATATTTCCTTGGAACATTGTGTGCCTAAAGATATCATTCACCCACTTATATGTGCCTGGTTTATCTTTTACCTTGAAATGCCTTTTTAAAGAGAACTCCTTTATTTCCACAGTCACTATTTTAGTTGTTTTTTATTCTTCCGCATGGCAGTGAATATTCAAAAAATTAGTAATGTTAAGAAGTCAGTCAAATCAAAGTTCTAATAAAGTGGTGACATCCAATCAGGACACCCAAGGGCTCTTTACATACTAAAAACATTTATAGGGAAATTAACAATCTCTAAAAAAATTCTACAGGAGACTCAATTCATACCCCGTCCCATATGCACAGCAGAACTTCATTCTACAAGTTCCCTTCTACAAGATTCAAGGTCCTCTTCACTGAGAGCGTTGGCAAATGCTTAGGGAGCAATCTTCTCGTTTCCCTCTATTGTAGATCCTTAGCTGGCGGGGGAAGAACTCCTCCATAGCTGCGGGTTGGCAGTGACGTCATGGCTAGAATACACTGACCTGGTTTTAGGGCTTCGCGGATCTAGGAGCCCTGAAGGCCAGAGAGAATGGGAAACCAGGGGCTGGGCTTTCGCCGCTGGAAGCTTAGCCCTGTGCTGGGAGCCGGGTCAGCCTCATCTGCTGCCCTCGGAAGGCTGGCAGCAGCGCGGCTCCTAGCCAAACGGGTGGGCGTGTGTGCGCCGGGGGCGGGGAGCGGCCAAACTTCCTGTCCCGCGCTGGAGCTGCTTCCGGCGGGAGCCGGAAGATACTCTGTGTGGACGGAATTCAGGACCGATTGACTGCCGGCAACCTGTCCGGGACGGAAAGGTAAGCTTCGGCTTGGGACTGGCGGCACTCGCTTGGCTCGGTAGTCCCCGACGAGAGGGAGCCCCTACAGGCTCCTAGAGGCCTGGGGCCGAGTTCGCCCCTGGAGCGGACAGGGAAACTCTCCTCCCTGGACACCCCTCCCGGATCTGGCGATCCTAGAAGTGGACGGTCGGAAGCCCTGCGGCCTCGGCCCTTCCCCTCGCGGTTTGGGGGGTGATGTTTTGGGTTCTTTGCTTCCGTTTAGAGGCAGGGGCATGGGAACAAGACAGTCCCGAGAAAACCGGAGTCAGCGAGTTCTTGGAGCGGGGGCTCCCGGACTGCACCCTCACCCGGGGCCTGCCCGCGGACCTTGGGGCCTTAGATTTAGGCCTTTGTGATGGGGGAAAGGTGTGCCAAGGGGATTCTACCCCGAATGTTTCTATCCAGAGCTACCCTCTCCTTTCCTACGTCCATTTACTTTCTGTGTCTGATTAGGGTCGCCTGTGGACAGGAGGGGCTGGGCCTCCGGTTTCTCTTTCGTATGTGAGTTCAGGCGGGCACGTAGGCTGGCTGTTGACTTACAGCGGTGTGCGTTTTGCTGGTTGAACTTATCCTCTGACATTTCTCAAGAGAATCTCAATAGTTTATTAAAGTTTATTCAACTTGCTCGTGAGGCTCTGAAAAGGACTTAGTTACCATTTGGAAGCTAAATATTATTAACTTGGGGATTAAGAAGTCGTATATACGCCTCACTTTGCAACAGGGTCAACACAGCATATTTGCAAAGAGAATAAAAGAAATACTTTAAAATAAAGCAGCTTTTTTGGTGTTGTTTAGGCTGTGAGAAATTCCTCTTTGTATTATCTTAGTGTGAGGTAGAATAAAAGGCAACTAAACTTGCTGTCTGTCAGATTTGAGTTCTAGTTTAAGCTTTGCATTCAAGTAGATGTCAAATTTTGGGGTGGGGGTGGGTGAATTTCAGTCTCTAGCTTTGGCGGGCGGCGGGGAGGTTATCTCTAAATGGAGAGATTTACCGTTAGAGTTTGACCATTATTTTGAGGCATACGACTGAGTAAGGGGGTTGACATAAGCATTTTTGTGTTTTGGAAGGATAACTGGATTGGTTGCATAAACATGGGTTGGAAAGGGGAATTTTAAAGGCCAGGTGACCAGGTAGAAGCCTATTTAATAGTGTAGTTGAAAGAGACTAGAGACCTAAATAAGGCATTGCAGTAGGAATAAATTTGGGGGACTCAGAATTACTGGGATTATTTAAATATAGAGAATGTGAGATTATTATTAAAGATCTAGAATTTGCGGTTGAGTGGGAAGAAAATTGGGCAATAATTGAAATAGTTAATAACAGGAAGAACAAGTTTAGGGGAGATGATAATCTGGATTTTGTACATTGTTAGGTTTGAGATGCTGTTGGAATTATATATAGAAATACCCAGCAAGCAGTTAGAAATGAAGATTTGGAGTTCAGAAGAAAGGTCATTCATTCATATACAAATATTTATTCAGTACTTACTATCTGCTTATAGGAATGCTTGTATGGAATCCCTTTAAACTCATAGTAAAGACAATTTGAAAATGGGAAGTGACTTCAGGGTATCTTTTTGGGTGATCAAAATGTAAATTTGTGGTATGGTTACACAACTGTGAATATACTAAAGACAAAGACAATCTAATAGTACTCTTTAAAATGGGTGAGTTGTGTATTCTGTGAACTCTCAGTGAAACTTATTTTCTTAAAAGATTTGCATTACAGTTTTTGAAATTTGTTAAATGGGTATTGGAATTGGGAATAGAAACAAATGTAATTGCATATTTGTCACTATACTACCAGCTAATATACTTAGTAAGTTCTGTGTTAAAGAAGAGGTTAACCTAGTACACCTGATAAGGTACTCTTGTAGTGATTATTTTGAATCCAGCTTGCCTATTCTAGTGCCTTCTTTTCTCTATTTTATCATACAGTACACATACAAACCATTAACTTGGCCATCAAAATTGTAGGGTAATACTCAGTTATGATATGGATATCCAGTTGTTTCAGGAAATGTTTTTGTTAATTTTTAAGTTTTATTATTAGATTAAAAACACTAAAAAATATCATTGTTAACATATAAAGGTTAGTAAATAGTTGTATGGTTTCTTGGAGATTTTACAATCATGGAATCTCAAAGTTGGAGGAACTTTAAGGATAACCTAAACAAATATCTGGTAATTTCTTGGCTTGTTGAGAGAGAGCTGGAATTTCGGTAAAGGAATTCTTTGGCCTTAACAAATTAGAGAGATGTAATCACTATTCATTCAACTATTTATGCCAACCTGCTCTGTGGGTAGGAGTCCTGGCTTTGCAGCTTAATAACTTGGGCAAGTGATTTATTGAGCCTTAATTCCTTTCTTCCTAAAAAGATGAATGGATAAATTATTATGTTGTTGTAATGCTTGAGTGAAAAAAAATGTATGTGGATAGAAAAGTCAGGGATTTATAATACTTCAGGTGAAAAACTTAAAAGGATTGTTTTCATTATATCTTGTAAATTGTTATTTCTTTACAATGAAAAATGAGAATCTCAGACAGCTGGAAAGAGGGAGAAGAAACCAACAAACAATAAATATTTATTCCATTACTTCTAAATGTCCTTTTTGTAAAGTCTGTCTTATTGTAACTATTTAGCCAACCCTGGTATTAATGGAAAACTTCATCCTAGGTACATTTTATATGTATGATTACACAGTGTTCCCAATTTTGGCAACAAATAAAGGACTCACATGACAGATCCTAGGGGAAAAATTAAGCTGTAAGAAAGTAAGAATTTTGGGCTGGGGGAGTAACTCAGTGGTTGATTGTGTGCGTAGTATACACAAGGCCTTGGGATTTAATCCCTAGCCCAAAAATGAAAGAAAAGGTGGGGGTGGGGGGAGAAGAAGAAAGAAAGAATTTAGATTACAGGGAGAAAACAGCTGCATCAGGGTCCCAAGAACACTATATCTGGGAAACACTATTCAAATTTTGTCATTTTTTTTTTCCTGTGCAGTACTGTAGATTGATCCCAGGGCTTCATGAATGCTAGGTAAGTGCTCTACTTCTGAGCTACACCTCCACTTTTGACTATTTTTTAATGTATTTTTAAAAATTATCAATACAATATAATTACATTTTAGAAAACTTGGAAAATCAAGAAAAGAAAAATAAGTCACACCAACCTACCATACAATATTAACTACTATCATAGCTGTGTGAATTTCCTTTGACTTTGTTCTGTGCCTATCATAACTAGTTTTAAAAATGCAAATATAATCATTTTATTTTTATAGTTTATTTATTTTTTAACAATATTTTTTAGTTGTTGATGGATCTTTATTTATTATTTTATATGTGGTGCTGAGAATTGAACCCAGTGCCTCACACATGCTAGGCCAGCGCTCTACCACTGAGCCACACCTCAGCCCTATTTTTATAATTTAATGTAATAACTTTTCTTTGTTGCCGCAGTGTCTTCATAACCTTATTTTGAAGTGATGGTGCCATACTTAATCAACAATTCCTTAATTGTTGGATATATATGTGTGTTTACATGTTGCTTCCAGTTTGTCACATATTTGTGAACATCTTTGAGTTTTTTCCTCTTTTTTCCCCCTGGAGATTGAACCTGGGAATGCATCATTACTAAACTATACCCCAATCCCTTTTTTTTTTTGGAAACGGGGTCCAACTAAGTTGCC